CAAAATGAATCTATGTCCGCTGCAGATGGTGAGCAGACCCGTGCCCTCACAACCAACCAAAATTCAAAGCAAAAGCAGCTTCTAAGGGGAACCTCACCAAGATAAATTCCCTGTGTTCACAGTTGGGTTTTTATCGTCCAAACAAGGCAGTTCGCTGTTAAAGCTATGAACGGTGGCAGAGTCTGTTTGGTAGCAATCTACTTTTCATTGCTACTTGCTTCTCCCTTCATCTGGTAGAGAAAGTGGAGAAGTTTTCCAAGTATATGGGTATTTAGAGTTAATGGGAGAAAACTTCTGAATGAGAGCAAAGACCTGTCCACTCACCTGTCCACATTGCCACAAACAGCAGCCAAGAATAAAACTACAGATGTGCATCAGTGTCAGCAATTTGTCGAATAGTTGAATTATTTTCCTCCCTAAATATCCTAGTTATTAAAGGCTCTCTCTTAAAACCCCTCGTGTTTTGTTGCTCTACATTGCAGCTGCCTTTTACTAATTACTTGTGTTTCCTCCTCTGAACTTTTTCCTGTGGAACAAGATCCTGCAAGGCTTGCGGTACACGTTCTCTGTGGACTGGTGGTCATTTGGGGTCCTGCTGTATGAGATGCTTATTGGACAGTCTCCTTTCCATGGGGATGATGAAGATGAATTGTTTGAGTCAATCCGAGTGGACATCCCTCACTACCCACGCTGGATTACCAAGGAATCAAAAGATATATTAGAAAAGGTAGGACTGATGATCAAGGAGTAGATCACCGTTCTGTATTTGTCCAGGGAGGGACAAATGGAGGCTTTTAAAAGGAGCTATTTATCAGCAAGCAAATTACTTTCACAAATGGAAAGCCAGGTCGGATTAATTACTAATGGTCTGTTTGCTGGAAGCAACCTTTGTTCTTTTAGATGCCCATGCTTCTTCCAGTGCCACCTCCCTTCTGAGCAGAGGCAAGGCTTTACCGGGTTATTTTGTCTTGCAGCTATTTGAAAGGGATCCAACAAGACGACTGGGGGTCACTGGGAATATCAGAGACCATTCTTTCTTCAAAACCATCAACTGGACGGCGCTGGAGAAGAGGGAGGTAGACCCTCCCTTCAGGCCAAAAGTGGTATGTGGGTTATTTGTTCCGTAGCAGTACTGCAAATGTCAGCCTAGGGGTAAAGGGCGATTGCCCTAACTTGCTCAGACTGCCCTGCTGCAAGTTTCTCCTCACGTTTTATAAACAAGATGGCTGTGGATCTCAAACCCCCTTGGTCTTGGATGGTGCAGTTATAAAAAGACTCGCTGTGTTCCTCTGACTGCCCTGAAATCTTCCTGTTAAGGCCTCTTCCTGTACTCTCTCAATGAGCTGCTTCACTAATACAATCTTCAGGAAGATCAACTAATAGTTCTGATCTCCACGCTCCTCCATGGTAGACACATTGACAGTTTCCTGCATTTTTCTCTTCTGCAATGCCACGTGGGAGAAGGACTTGAGGCTGCTCAGTTGGGAACTGCCTGCGGGCACTCTGCACAAGCATTACATACGTGCTGATCAAACTCATCTGAGCATCTCAAAGTGGGCAAAAAGATGCATTCTCTATACCACTAACTTAAGAGTTGTCATGTACTCGCCTAATGTTACCCAAAAAGAACACTGAAGGAAGAGAGCGTGCGTTGCTCATGGTCTGTGTCACTGTGGGATGCTGCTCCTTCATCTCATGTGGTTAAAAATCCAAACCAGTTTTCCTCCACCCTGTACTGGTACAGGTAAAATGATCTGGAGGTAACGCAGTCCCTTTAAAAGATACTGATGTACTCTGTTGCCGAGAGCTGTCCCATTCAAGAACAGGAGCTTCATGTTGCATGTTCCCATAGAAACGGGAACTCTGGAAACATAAGGATCCTACAAACAGGAACCTTTAGAGGCTCAGAGTGTAAAACACAGGGTCTTTAGTAAGGTGAATTTTTATGGAACATGCACAAATATTTTATCCAAACGCAAAGCGGCTGCAATAGGACAACAGTTTTTTCTTTGAACAAGTACAAACAGTGAAGTGCTTTCAGTAATTTAAAAATTTTGGATAATGGCAAGAAAAGTTGGGCTTAAAGATAAGTGCAGCATTGCTTCTGTCTATAGGGAATCTTTGGGTAATCCTAGGACACAGTATCACAAAGCCAGGTGGTTCTTCACTGAAGCGACCTGGTGCTCTTTGTTTTCAACTAACAAGCAACTGCCCGGTTACAATCTTACAGTGGTGTTGAAATAGGCAAAAAGGCAATTTTCCTCTAAAGGGAGGGGAGGGAGCTCAAGAAGTAACTTCCTAGCCTTTCCTCTTTGAGCAATTTGTTCTGGAAGAAATTACAAGTCTGTCTCACACTGTCTTCCCTCTCTGTTTAACACAGAAGTCAGCAAGCGACTACAACAACTTTGACAGAGAATTTCTGAGTGAGAAGCCGAAATTGTCTTACAGTGACAAAAACCTGATCGAGTCCATGGATCAGTCTGCGTTTGACGGATTTTCTTTTATTAACCCTAAATTTGAACAGCTCTTAGACAAGTAAGTCTCTGAACAGAGTTGGACTTTAAAGCAGGGTTAAACATCATAAACCGAAAACTCCCGCGTGCTGTGTTCCACCAGTGTTGTCGATACTTCAGAGTAATACACAGTAGTGTGGTTGATTATGTCCAACTGCTGATTTATTGGCAGTGTTCTTTCATGCATGGTTGGGTTTAAGGTATGTGAATCATGTGCATTATTTTCTCTATTTGGGAAAATGTAAATTCTGTTTGGTACTTGAATGTAGTTATGTTATATATATATATATATGCTGTATATTTTGCTCAAGAGACGACATTGGGGAACAGAAGATGTCTTTTTAAAAAGTGTTTGAGCCCTTGGTTCTTTTATTTGTCTTCAATTAAAAGAAAGTTATGTGAAACTTTCATTCACGGCTTTATGATTTATTTTTTTTTCCTAGAATATACAATTAAACTCCAGTTGTCCTTAAACTACAATAAAAAAGTAGCAATTTGTAAGCCCTGACCGCTTACAAAAACAACACAAGTGTTTCAGGAGAGCTAACCAAAATGCTGCACAATTAGGCAAAAGCAGAGGTTTACAGTGTGACAGTAGCTGCGTTTTTGTATAAAGCCCGTCTCCCAGCAGAGCCAGGCTTCAGTGCTGAGCTGAACATTTATTCTGAGGCAGCCTAAGTGCAAGACCGTGAGGCCGATGTGTCCCGCAGCAGCCACAGCACGCTCCCTGGGAATACGTGCCTCTGCTGTTCAACGCCACGTCCTGTTGACAGCGCCATGCGATGTCATTGCAGCAGCTTACCGGGAGAGAAGCATCGGGCAGCGACTGCGTGGAGCATCAGCACCACTTGCCGGGTCTGCTGGAGAGGACGCATCTTGCCAAGCACAAAATCTCTCGCCCATTTTTATTTGCTTGTTTTTAACACAGCAGCTGCGGCTCCTCCTACTTGCTGTGAAAAGGGCACAAAACCAGACCCGGGGTTGTTGCAATACCTGCTTCTGAATTCTCATTCTTAACCATTAACAAGAAAGAAAAACTGATGTGATTACTGACATTATGCTCTTCCCAAAACTCTTCTCCTTGCAGTCAGCTCGTAAAATACAGAATGAAGCAAGGTCTCTTGCATCTCAAAACCCTTCTGTATCCTGTAACGCTGTTGCGAATTATTTAGTTTTCCCAACCACCGAGCAGGCGGAAGAAAACGTACTAGTGAGGATCAGGTTGTCCAACAGTTATGCAGTGCTACAGAGCTCTTGGGAGCACCCTCTAGCTTTTGGGTAGTTTCAGACTGTTAATCCT